AAGGAGGTGCTAAATATGGGCTTATTCCATTAGGCCTAGGATTCCTAATTCTAATCCAATACTAACTCAATCTAAGAAGGAGATCTCCTACTAATCCCTCTCTTATAGAAGACTCCTAAGTCTCCTAACACTAGAGAAGATCCTTGTAGGAATTTCCTTTCCTAATCTATATCTATATATATATAATAAGGTTGTTGGAAAATTCATTTTTGGAAACTCAAAAAATAATCCGTTGACTTTTGACTTTTTATATTTAGATCCATGTTAAAATTCTGAATTTTGTTCCTTTAAACATGGTCATGCCAATCTTTTTTTATTTTAACTGACTGCTTAATAATCTGATAAAATAATGCACCAACAGTACAATTCTGTTACAGATTTATGCCATTTTGTTTGTACTCCATCAAAATCGCACGTGATTATTTGATAACCTCAAATTTAATTAATTTGTGGGTCCATTCCGTTGGAACAGAAATTAGATTGCAAAATCTGTTGCTGCATTCCAAAAATAATGGGATTGAATGTCTATCCAATTAAAATCCATATTTATCTTCAATAATAAAAAAAAAATATATTCCCAATGAGTTTGGGTCAACATAAAACGTGTATAACAAAAAAAAAGGTATAAAAGGATCACTAGCACTATTATTTCTTCACATACATAATTGTCGCGTTCAAAGGAAAAAAACACAAATAAAAAAAAACATTCCATCGATAAAACAATGCTGCCATCCATGGGTACGGTTGACTCTGTTAACAGGAGAAAAAAACCTTTTTTGCGTTTGAGAGCAGTTCGAATTATTGAAACGCATCACGAACAAGAGAACCGGAACGAATTCCATATATTGTTTCATGATGCACAGGTAATATTTACCTTTGTTAACTGAATTTTATATATTTTGAAAATTTATTTTAATTATTATTTAAAAATTATATATTGTAGGGTGCATACATTAAATATATAATACGTTCTCCATATATGGAAGCATTTCGAGGTAAACTCAACGAAGGCGAGGTGTACGCATTACACAACTACGATGTCGAATTTCATAATGGGAGGAGAGATATCGTAAACATGTGGAAACTTGTGCTTCATACAAGAACTTTGTTGTGCAAATTTGCCGGAAATTTTCCTCAATATGGTGATATTTTCGCTCAACACTAGCGAGAATGAGGAGATGTTGAAGATTTTTTGGGTTTGATAAGAATTCCACTTTATATTATGAATTTTATTAATATTCTATGTCGTTGAAGATTATGAAATTATATTATCTTTCGTTGTCAGATTATTGTTTGTGTTTTGTGATTTATATTATGTTTCGTGGTTAAATTTTTGTTTGTGTTTTGTAATTGATCATTATGGTGAAATTTAGTAATTTAAAATTACAATTAACTAAATTTATTTAATTATTTTTTTTAAATGAATCATTTCGTGCTTACAAAAAAAAAATTTAATTAGCACATTCGAACTGT